CCCAAATCAGGAGTTTCATACTGAACTCTTAAAGAGCTATAGGCATAGATCAGGTTGCAATGCTATCCAAGGCTCTGGGCACACATATTGCCATAGGTACACACAGAACACGCTCCACCTCCTTGGGGGAGCCATCACCTTTGTGACAGAGGCCCGAGGAACAGGCACTGACATTTGTTCAGAGATTCCCCAGGTGATTGCAGTAGCTAGGCGCAGCCTCACCACCCAAGGCGGAAGGAAAATGTGGGTTCATGTCTTAGAAGATCCAAGTCTTCCACCATGGCCCTAAGAATCTGGATTCTTGCTAAAGAGTGCTTGCTAACCTCCCCAGGCTACTTCCTTAGAAAGTAGGGGAAGAATCAGACATAGCTGCCCAAAGGTCATCCAGTCCTACAGTACTGATCAGTACTGACGTCAGCATGTACCAAAGTCCTACCTGTAGACTGAGTTCCCTTAACTGCCGTCAGCCCCAGAGTGACTGCAGCATCCTAGGAGGCAAGGCTCCCCGCTGCCCCGTGAGTGTCAAAGGAGAGGGACTTATGATTTATATTGACTTAGAAGTGGAGCCTTTCAGCATCAGATGGTTGGGGATGGGAAGAAAGGCAGCAAAGTGTGGGTTCCTCAGTCCTCTGATCAGCAGCAGCAGCAGCAGCAGCAATAATTGCAGACCCTCTGGGCTTGCCACAAGCCTGTGGAATCCGAAGCACTAAGAATTAAACTCTGACGCTCTCTGGGTCAGGTTTTGCCAATAAGCATTGAAAGCCAAGCCGTAGGTTGATCATGGGCCGAGCATGTCCCTGTCACTGATGGTGTCTTTCCAAGATGAGGAGCAGCATTTTAGAACCCCGTGCTGGTTGGTGGTCAGGCCAGAGCTCTGTGTATTTTTGTATAGTATGCAGGAGGCTCTAGGAGGATGCATGAGGCCCTAGGTTACAGTCTCAGCACCACAGACAAAAATCATAAAAAGTAAAGAATAAACATTCTTTGTGCTACTGGGCTCTATTTCAGACATTGTGTGTGTGTGCATGCATGTATGCGTGTGTGCATGCATGTGTGCGTGTGTGTGTGCACGCATGCATGTGTGTGTGTGTATGTTTGTGTGTGTGTGCATGCATGCATTTGGACTTGCATGTGGATATATAAGCAGGTCAGGGGTTGATCTCAGGTATACTTCAGAAGTCATCCGTCTTGTTTTATGAGACAGGGTCTCTCCCTGATACCTGGGACTCCGTAAGGATTCTAGGCCAGCTGACCAGAGAACCCAGTTATCTGCCTGCTGCTACCTCCCTGGCACTGTGTGCCATCATGCCCAGCTTTGGACATGATTGTTGGAGACTGAGCTCAGGTCCTCATGCTTGTTTAGCCAACACTTCCCTGAGTCATCGCCTGGCCCTGGGACTCTGTTCTTAATAAGAGTTCATGAGATGCAGAAATGCAGATCTCTCTCTTCCTTCCCTCCCTCCCTCCTCTTAGTTAACGCAGCAGAAGCCTGACAGAGCCTGCCTGCTTCCCAAACTAACTTCATTTCCCCTTGGCCCAGGGTAAGGGCACTTCCTCCTTTCTTTTCCTCTCGGAATGCCTGCCCCTTTGTCTCTGTCTCTAATTATCCAGCTGCTTCCTCTAGTCCTGTTACCCATTAAGTAAAGGCAGCCATTCCCTTCAGCAGTCTGCTCCCTCAGTGCTGGATTGTTCTCTGCCACATAAAAAGCCACAAGTGGCTTTTATAGCCTCATACATACTTAATTAGTCCAGCTTCTCAAAATTGTGCTTTAAATGAGTAAAGGCATTAGCCCCCCGATCTAATTGATCCACAAAGCGCAGTTTCAGCACAGCGGCAGGAACTTTAAGTGTTGGTCTAGACGAGCGACGCTGGGGATCACAAGAGGATACAAGAGCAAAGACCCTGGTCAGAGGCAGACTTAAGAGCCCAGGTAGAATCTGGATCTAAAGAACTGACTATTTGTGCCTTGCCTACCGCTGTCTGTTGGTCTGACCCCGCCGTGACCTTGACTTGGCATCATAAACACGCACTTTGTGAGAGAGTTTGAGATGGGATATTTGCTGAATTGGAGCTATTGTCAGGGTTCCAGGCTTCGGATACACTGTTTCATGTGCCTGGCCTCATGCATCATGGTGGAAATAAAAAACGACTGTACTCTGGCCTCTCCTCCACTGTGTAGCCGTCTACCTCCATGGTGGAGCATGTCACCAGCAGATCTACCCATTGAGGCTTGCATCTTTGGGCCCTGCGCTAAAGGCTTCATTACAGCCTGCAGTGTTGGGAGGCAGGCAAGCTTTCTGAGTTAGTGCTCAGTCAGTGAAAGGCACTTTGGTCCCTGAAGATGACCCCTTGGAGTCCCCATCTCCTTCCTTCCTTTCTCGTTTTACTTCCTGGCCTTTGTGAAGCAGCAGCATCCTGTTCCACCAAGTGGTGCCACCCCCTACCATCATAGTCTGCCTATCCATAGATCTGAAAGGATGATGCCAGGTGACTTTGGACTGAAACCTTCCAAACAAGCCCGAGCAAATCTTCCTGCATGTTGTTTGTCTTAGGTATCTGCCGCAGCAGTGGGATGTTAAGACACCATCGGAATGTCTGGGGCCCCTCACCTGACTAGTCCCTGCTTTCTTCTCTGCCAGCCTTTTCTGTACATCTTTCTAGACTCAACATGTGGTTCTTGACCTCCCAGCCCTTTGGGCTACCTCCGCAATTCCCCCTCCACTCCACATCACCCGTTGAAAGCCATTTGGTCTGCCGTGCGCGGTTTTGTCGCAGCAGAAAGAAGCGAATAATTGAAGCTCTTCGTTTCCCTTGCCCAGAGCTTTCAGAAAGAGCATCATTTGGGAGCCTCTTAGAGCCCCTTGTAACCAGGCCAGGGCCCGTTTACTGTCTATTCTCAACAACTGCAATCTGGTATTTCGAGAAAGGAGCCTTCTAATCCCATAGTGTGGGCTGAGTGAGTTGTGGGTTGATCTTGACCGGAAAGCACAAGGGAATTGGAGCCTGAATGGGAACCTTGGTGATCCCGGGTATGACGGATGGACAGATGCTTCAAAGCTGCCCTGTGGGGCTGGCCCATGAAATAGTGCTGAAGGAAAGAAAGATCCTCTTCATGTGTCATCGCCTTAGCAGCCTGCCTCTCACCTTCCTTCTCGTCAGCTGGGGATCAGATTCAAAGCTACCCTGGGGCTCAGCTGAGTCACCAACGCTGTGGGAACCCAGGTACTAAGGTACTAAGAGCTTAAGCGCTTCAAATGGGGCTAAGATCCTCTGGACTCCGAGGATTTAAAATACATGTACTGAAAGGAAGCATGGAGCAGTAACCTGGCCACGCGGTCCTTTTGACAGTATGGGTACCTAGGGGGATGGATACCAGCAGATGGGACATGGCTGGAAGCCTGCTAAGGCTTTGGTGTTCATAACCATGCCCCTATGTATAATCTTAGAGGAAGGGACTCTCCTCCCTGCCCTTTCTTTAACAGCACATATTCACTTGGTCCGCAGATGTAGGGTGGTTGGCCTGAAATAAAGTTCTCCTTATTTCCCTCCTTTCCTGTCTGTCACTGTGTGCTGATGAGGGACGTGCTCCGTACCCTCCCCAAGGCCTCCATAGAAGCCTGGCGGTTTTGTCCACCACTGGCATTCATTTCTTCTTTCTTCCAGCATTCCTTTCCTATACGTGGTGTGGCTGTTAAAACCCCGGATGCTCCCAGAGAATCACAGAAATACTGATGTTCGTCAGGTCTACAGCTTACCCTTTCGCAGCACCCACATGTGCATGGTTCAGGTTTATCCTGGCCCCAGCTCTTACTGTTGCTTCACAGATGAGCATGCTAAAGTGCACAGTAACTCGATTACCTGGAGTTAGGTTGAGGGTGAGCCCATGGAATACCTATCCTTTCCTTTGTACTTCACTGCCTTTCCTTACTTTCCTGCCATGAGGTGGAAGGCTTTCCTGGTCAGCCAATTTGCACCATTATTCCGGCGTTCCTATCCATCACGCTAGGACTGTTAGGATTCTGATTTCTCAGCCTCAGAGCCGAGGGAGGGTCACTGAGCTGGCCAGGGTCACAGCAGAGGGAGGAAATAGCAGGGATTCATCTGTTTTCTCTCTCGGTGCCCTGCACTCCTGCCGCCACACTGCATGGACTGCCCCGTTCCTCACTGTGGTGCTCCTCACTTACGATCCGGGTCCGTGCTCCACTTTGTCAGGAATTCATGCCTGTCTTGTTCATACCTTTGCGCAAAGGACTTATTCCTGGCCCAGCAAGGACCTCGGTCATCTGCCAGATCTCTCATGACAGGGACAGCTGTCTTCCTGTGATATAGGTCACGGCCCCCAGAAACAGGAGAGAGACTCCATTGCTCCCTCAATAAGCCTTATGATAAAGTGTCACCCCTTGGTCCCCCAGGGTGGACTGTGCTTTGTTTTGTGAATGTGATCTTTTATCAATAGATGTTCTAGTTGTATCTGTGTGTACTTTCCTGCCAGGTGGCCTTTTAAGGCCAGGTGTCCTCATTTTTCTGTCCCTTTTATGCAGGCCATTGCCAGGCAAATAGCGCATGTTTAGTAAATATTGTCCAACAAATACAGGCAGACAGGAATACAAAAGAGGGAGGAAAGACAAAAATATCCCATGAAAATTTCCCGGGCAGGCTACAGTATTTAGAACAGGCAGGAGGGGCTTGTCGTTGTTGTTTGTTTTATAAGATATTCCTTTAGGCATTTAGGTTTAGAAACTCCCAGAAGGAAGGGGAGCTAAGTAGGATCCCACTACCAGGCCTGTTTGTGTCAGTCTGTGATCCCAGCTGTTTGAGAGAGCTGTTGGAGGTGGACCAAATAGGTTCAAGAACCTTCTGGCCTATAGAGTGAGTGCAAAGCCTGCCTGGCTGACAGAGAGTGCATGCAGGGTCGTCACAGCCTCCTGAGATGCAGTCTCAGAATAAAAAGTGAAAAGAATTCTGGGAATGTAGCTCAGTGGCGGTGTGTTTCCCTAGCATGTGTCAGGTCTTGAGGTCAATCCCTAGGACCCGGAAAAGAATGGATGGGTGGATGCATGGATGAATATATTCTATTGAGCAAAGCTAGCTAGCTGATCAGCTTTGCTACTTATGTTGTTTTGACTGGTAGAGCATATATTTGGAAGTGTGTAACCTATGGACGTTGGGACTTAAGGCGACTTTGTAGCCCCGCCCCCCATGAAGTACATGGCACTCTTGAAGATGCAGGCAGATATTGGGAAAAATCATCTTTGATCCTATGAAAGTGAATTCTTCAGTTCAATTAGGGTTTCAATCGAAGGGAATGCTTCTCCGATTCATTCATTGGGCTTCTACTTAGCTTTGGCCTCTGGTGCCGCATTACCAGGCAGGTGGGAGGGTCCAGAAAGAACAGAGTGGTGTCTTGGGGGTGGGGTCTTCTAAGACAGACTTTGAAATTGTCTTTTCCCGCCCTCAGGTGAGCGTGTTGACCACCCTGGAACGCAGGTTCAACCTTCAGAGTGCTGATGTGGGCGTGATTGCCAGCAGCTTCGAGATTGGGAACCTGGCGCTGATTCTCTTCGTGAGCTACTTCGGAGCACGCGGGCACCGACCGCGCCTTATCGGCTGTGGCGGCATCGTCATGGCCTTGGGCGCCCTGCTTTCAGCACTGCCAGAGTTCCTCACCCACCAGTACAAGTACGAGGCTGGCGAGATCCGCTGGGGCGCAGAGGGCCGCGACGTCTGCGCCTCCAATGGCTCCAGCAGTGATGAGGGGCCCGACCCCGACCTTATCTGCCGTAACCGGACAGCCACCAACATGATGTACTTGCTGCTCATTGGGGCTCAGGTGCTGCTGGGCATCGGTGCTACCCCCGTGCAGCCCCTGGGGGTTTCCTACATTGATGACCACGTGCGGAGGAAGGACTCCTCGCTCTATATAGGTAGGCGGTGCCTCTTCTGTATGTGTTGGTATACTGGCACAAAGTTGGGACCCTGTCTTCCTGGGGCACTGGTTCGCGGAATGGGCTAACCATCTCCAGGGTTTGTAAAACACCGATACCCACATTTAATGCCCAGGAATTCTTGCATGCTTGATGCAGGGGCCATGCAACTAGAGCACTTTCGAAAATCTTTCCAAAGGGTGTTCAGTTGCTGTCTGCATCTTACCAGACCTTTGTAGAGGATCATCTGGGCTGGAGGGTTTTGGGATTAATCTCTCTCTCTCTCTCTCTGTGTGTGTGTGTGTGTAGACACGTGTGCACAGTACAGAGAGATTTGGGGTTGCCTAATGTTCACCAAGATATATTTGGGGTCTTCATCTAGGAAACCTCAACTTTGAAGAATCAAAACCTTCACCTCTTATTTTTGCCCCCTTTTGGACCTCAAGCGAGGCCGTTGATTGCATTGTTGGCATTTGGTATAACCCAAACCTGGTGACTTCTGGTAATGTTCCCACTAACCGTCTGCTCGGGAACTGGGTGTTTAGGAAGAAATGAAGGCTGAGAAAACTTTAAAAACTGTTTTCTGCTGTAGTGGTTTCTGGGATTTTAGACCACAAAGATGGAGGAGCCCCAAGGTCTAGAGTTTCAGGAAACAGCTTAAGTGGCAGTTTGCTCACGTGACACATGGTGTCTTTGATCCAAGTGCAGGTGGACAGTTGGATGGTCGCTCGCCAGGTATCTCCAGCCCTGACTTACTACGTCTAATTTTGCCTTCAACGGAGGCATTCCCAGTCATTGAGTTTGGAACTGTGAAAAGGACCTCTGCCTGGACAAGGGTGATGTCACACAGCAGCAGTGTGCCTCGAGGCATTAAGCTAGGTCTAAAGGCTTACGTGAGCATAGGATTTGAACCAAGTTCGACCTGAGCTTCCTATCTACCAGGCTTCTACTATACGCAGCCCGAGATTGATGAGACAGGATAGATGGGAGCAGGTAGCCACCCAGAGGCTTGCCGTAGAGTTGATGCCTTGATTGAACAAGTGTGTCCTATATAGATGCCTGACCTTTATGTGAGAGGAGCTGTGGGCAGGAAAGCTAGAGAGAGCGCACTTTCCTGTCCAGAGCTGGAACGAGGCAAACCCAGGGACTTAGGACTGTTGAGTTAAAGCTGCACAGTCCTGCCCCCCTCCCTCCATATGGTTAAGGCTTGGGTTGTAGCTGGGCAGGGTCCCGCTGATGTGGCAACTAAGGTGACCTTTTAGTTTTTGCAGCTGTTAAACCTGCCTGTTGTAAAAAACGGCATCCAGAACTTCAGCTGGACAATTGGTCTTCGATTTGACTGATGTCACCCCAGGGCCCTGGAAAAGAGGTTTTCTGGTAGCAGTAACAGATCACACACACCATGTAGAAGGAAATGGGCAATGAAACATTGAAAAATCTCTCCCTAGAAATCGCTCCCGATTTCCGATTAGCTCGCAGTCAAGTAGGTTTGGAGCTTCTCGAACATTCCCTGACCTGTCTTCTGCAGGAGATGTTCTCTGATGAGTTACTCTCTGGTATTTCTCCAACTGGGTGTGGTGTGAATTGTTTGCTAAGGGGGCATTTGGGTTTGGGAGATGGGATGTGGATCTAAGAGCAATAGGGCAAATCAAGGCAAGATGCTGTTTTAAATTCTCTTGTGTTGTCCATGAGATGTGCAGTACGCTTTTGGTAGGAAGATTGTCTCATCCAAATTTTTACTTAGGCTCCTCTTTCCCTCTACAGAAGAGTTAGTTGGGTGTTATTTCTGCACAATACAAAGATATTGTAGCGCTCTGGTCTGTCTGATCGAATTCCAAAATATAGTCATACACAACTGTGCAGATAGCTGTTCTGGGTCTCTCTGAAATGGTTTCATGGATCTGTTTAGCGGGAGTAGCCGAGAGCAAGCCTTCTGTACAGATCGGCCTCCATAGGTGGCTTTTCATTGGCTTCTCTAAGAGCTGTTTCAGAAGACCATAGCATATGCAGAGAATAGCTGGTCATTCGTTTATGGCAGGGACCATAAAGACATAGCCATGGTCATGAAACTGTCACAGCATTTGTCTAGTCTAGTTAGGCCCTGGTCCTGGAAGCCTCTTCACTTGGCTTTTGAAAGTGTTTGATGGAGCCCACTGCAGAGAGGGGGGGGCTGTCAGAAGTCAGGAGGAAGTGAAGCTGAGACTGTAGGTATAGATGTGAATTGTATGGGAAGTGAGAGTGTTTGTTACGCCCAATTCCAGCTCCAGAAAAGCGTGTCTGGGGGGAGCCTTTTTGTCAACATGCCTACTTCTGGATCAGAGATGGAAGCAATGTGCATGTTATACACGGAACATGCTTGTTTCTAAGTAATCCTTTCTATGTGGGCCTGGAGGGTTGGCCTCCACTATCTAGGCTGCTGGTCACCAGAGACCAGACCTGTTGTTAGTTGTCTTTATAGTAGGTCACCAGATGGGTGCTAGTTACACATCTACGGCCAGGTCATAGACTCCCACATCCAGACAAAAGTGAAGCAGTTCAGCTGAAGTCCCTCCAGGGTTTCCTACTGAAATGGCTATTTCCACCCACTCTTGTGGCTGTACTGTGGCCGAGCTCCTGGATTCTTGCATGGGCCGTTCAAAAGGCCCATGTTCTGTTCTAAAGCCAGTCTTTTCGAGAATGAAGAGGGAGTTGAGGGTGCTCGTTACCCAGGAACAAAACTGGATGAATGAGAACTCAGCTCTCCTGGCAGCCTTTTCAAGACATTTCAATACAGCAGCGTGTGGGGCTCAGCCTCACGGGATGGCCAGTTAATGACCTGTGGGTGGCGCGTGTCACTCTTTGTTTCCATGGGAACTGAGTGGGCAGGGTGGTGGTGGAAACTGTTTGGGCCCTCCTGACGCCTAAGAATCAACACTTTGGGAATTCAGTCATGCCTTAACTCCACGTTGTGACCAGCCTCGTTTTCTTAACTGTCCTTTTGTCTCTCCAAGTTCAGACCCATCAAGTGGTATTTGCTTTCTATGGTAGTGTGAGAAGATGTCATACACTTACTTTACAGCGGCCTTTTACTGGGTTGCTGCTTCAGTGTGTTACTGCTTTATTTACTTATCGTTCTTAGGAATAGAAAGGTAAAAAGATAATGATAATGATTTTCTTAAATAACTAGAACAGGTGTTTATTACACATTTCCCATTAGCAGGCTTTGAAATATAGGAAAAAGAGTAACAAGAGAACAGTTACTCCTGGCTTCATAGTATATATAATTCTAGTCTCTTTTTCTGCATTGATGTACTTTTCAGCAAAAGTGCACTTATAAGAAAAAAGATTTTGTAATTTCATTTCTCTTAATATTTCATGAGCTTTGTTGCCCTGTTACTAAATATTCTTCTATGGTTCTAGCTGCATACAAAATATTCCCCTGTGAACGTACATCATGCAAGTAATGTTTCTGTTGTTAAAAAGGAGTTTTCCGAATTTCTGCTGTCAGAAGTGAAGCGGATGGCTAAACTGTGATTCCTAGAGATTAAATTATTTGCTCCAAATCACTTGATCTGGATGTTGACTGGGCTCTGGCTGGGAGAGTGTTGCATATTCCAGGGGTATCTGGTATCTGAGGTCCATTCAGAGGGCTGTGGTTGGCTGGTGGGTGCATGGGCCAGGGTCCAGAAGAAGTCAAGGACTTTCACCAGAGTGCTTAGAGCCTTTAGGAAATGTCAAGTGCTGTGAAGGGGGAAGAGATGGGATGGTGTTTGAAGTCCAAGGAGGGAGGTGCTTTTAGTGTGAATAGTGGGGGGTCCAAACTAGAAGAGGGGTGCAAGAATAGGATGGAGACAGGAGGTGGGCATAAAGGGTTCTGGAAAGATATGTACCCCTGTTCTATCATATATGAAGATGAATTAAGATCAGAGCTCAGCTCCTCAGACAAGGCGGCTGGTAGAGCCTCCCTTCTGCTCCAGCATTGTGGTTAGTCCACCACGCCCATTCCTCCCATTCTCAATTTGCTGCAGCCATGGGTGCCATCCAGAAGTTGGCCTCACAGCATGGTGGAGCTTCTGCTTACAGTTTCCTTTGACCATCTTTCTTACTGTGGACCCTGGGCCCAAGAGACACATTTCTGCCCTCCTTTCCGTAGTGTGATGACTCCCCTGAGTACCAGCCTTGCATGGGCAGGGAAGGGCTGCTGAAAGCCTAAGTCTTCTTTGCTTAATAGGTTCCATCCTCACTTCTACTTCAGGGAGAGGTATCAAGGAATCAAGGACTGGAGGACTGGACCGGACAGAAGACAAAACCAAGTGAATGGAGAGCTTAGGACTTATGAGCTGTGCATCAGTTTGCTGAGCAGAACACCCTTCACTGGGTGGTTTAAATGGCAGACAATGTTTACTCGCCATTCTTCAGAGACTAGGGGTTTAGGGCCAAGTTATAGGTAAGGTTGGGATTTTCTGAAGCCCCTCTCTGTAGCTCAGAGAAGGCCACCCTACTGCTGACTCTTCCCATGGCTCTACCTCTAGGCCCAGGTGACCCTAGGATGACGTCTATATTCTTAATTTCCTTCTCTAACAAGGCATATAGTCTGATTGAGTTAGGACCCATTTGTTGACAGGGCGGGGAGGGTGGGGGGAGACATTTAACCCCAGTGACCTCTTCAAAGGCCCTATTCAACTAATTATTTAATGATAGAGTCGCTGATAGTTTCAAAATAGAGAGAAGTCCCCTGTACCTTTCATTCAGATTTCCTTCATGTAACATAATGATAGCTCAGTCAGTAAAGTGCTTGCTTTGTCAGAATGAGGAGCTGAGTTTGATCTTCAGACCTCATATTTAAAATATACCTGACTTGGCAACATGCGCGGGTAATTCCAGTGCTGGGGAGGTAGAGGGGTGGACCCTGGGGGTTCTCTGGTCAGCCAGCCAGTTCATTTGCCAAGTTCCAGCAGTGAAAGACTTCTCAAAAGAAGGTTTCTAGTGCCTGAGGAGAGGGACACTCAAAGTTATCCTTT